GTCGTCCCCAGGGCCTTTGTAATTCTTGAGATATTTAGGTATCTTTAATAGGATTACAGGGAGGAGGAAGAAGACACTATTAGTTATTCATTTTAATTGTTTAAATTCGTGGTTTTAAGAAATCGTTAAGCCTTACGTACTAGGATACGTTCTTCAGCTGGAATTTGGCTAACTTCTGGTCATCTAACTTTTCTTGAAGGCATCAGAGTACGCGGTTACACCGTCATACAATAGTGCAAAACCCCTTATTTTCCAGAAAAAAAATTCGCCCAGCTTAGACCTACGATAATAAAGTTCAAATAGGGGTCATTATCTTTGTATTTTCTAATTATGAATCGAATGAAACAAAAGTTAAATCGATATCATTACGCGTTTTTGTTATTTTGACAATATTATGTTTTTCTAACCCAGTATATCGTTTAATAAAAATATTAATTTTTCTTAAACTAAGCATCGTTTAATTGAATACATTAGTATAATTGAATAAAACTTAATAAAATTAATGAAACTTAAAAAATAGGGAATAACATAAAAGCCCTTGAATTTTAAAAACATCATACTGCATTATTAAGATTTCTTTTTCGATAACTCTACTTATATTTTTTTATATATCATAAATTATAGAAATTGACTAAATATTCCTATGTAAGAAATACATAACCTTATATTCGGTATATAAGAAGAGTATTTTTATTTAAAGCTATTTTTTATAAATATTGGAGTAGCAGACAATTATCATTTTAAGTTTATCATTGTTTTGTTTTCTATTTATATTTTAATGGCATAAAATTGTTTTAGGTTGGGTCAGAGACTAGAAAAAAAATTAATTAAAAAATAAAAACTAATATTTTAAATTACTTCTACCACCAAATTTTCTTTATCATTAGATTCAAAACTACAATTTACCTAGAGTATGAACCCCATTAAAATTATTTCAAGAAAATATCTGTGCGAAAAAACCATGTCTAGTGAATCGAGCGTTTCGTCCAACTGTGCGTCGAGTCAATTCAAATCCACCTAGCCGACGATAAAATTCAGTAACCTTAACTTAAGTAACTTTGATCTTAGTGGTTTATTACTGTCCCATCATCACAAAAATCATTATTTTTATCATTTTCGTGGTAGTCCGTAACAAAACAAAACAAAAAAATGTATTTACTTTATTATAATTAATTTTGCTTGAGGTCCAACTAAATAATTTTCTTCTCTATTTATAATAGGTTTTCATTCGATACTAAGATAAATATAAAATAACCATAAAGCAGCATTCTATGATTATTTAATGATGATTCATGTTTTCTACTTAAGTAATTTACTTCATTACAGCTTAAGGTGCCATGTAGAACAACAAAGGTTAGAGGCAACGTGTTTCTGTTACATAATTTAAATCATTTTATACAGTTTGTTAACCTTCAAGAATTGCAGCAAGTTCTTCTAGTTTACCTGTTCCAAGGCTTGACGGTAGCTCCGGAGTCTTAGTGAAATTCTTGAAGGACATAAGCACTGACAATTTTCGATGACGTGCTCGATGGTCAATGGTGTGTTGCAGCTGCTGCATCAAGGATAAATCTTCCCTTCAAGGAGGTGTCCATGCGTCAGCCTGCTATGTCCTATTCTGAGTCGACAAATTATGGTTTGCTACAGACGGTTCCCTGTTATTTGTGGCAGTGGTTCTGTATCTTCATAAATGTTCTTCAGTTTATTGGTCTTTAGGACGTTGGACCAAAAGTAACGCCATACTTCTTTGCAATGATTCAGCACGGCTGCATTAAAATCGTTCAGCGCCGTGCTAAGTTTAGGTTCTGGAAATATGTTGCAGGCTTCCTTGGCACCTGTGTCAGCCAGTTCATTTCCAGGTATACCAACATGGCTGGGGACCCACAGAAATTTTATTAATTTGTTTGTTATCTGAATTAGTTGTGTTATGGAAAATGCAATAGAGTTATTGGAGAGTTGAAAATTTTGTATTTCTTTGAGGGCCGAATATGAGTCACTGCAAATTAGAATGTGAGTGTTTTTTAATTCATTAATAAGACTTACGGATAGATAAATGACATACAACTCGGATGAGAAGACGGAATAAATGGAAGGAAGACTGAACCGGATGGTTTCGGTGGGAAGCACAACCGAACAGCCCACACGATCTAGATGTTTTGATCCATCTGTGTAAATACAGGTAAATTCTTTGTTTTTGTTAAGAATAGTTTTAAAAAAATTGTTTTATAACTTCGGGGGGATTAGTAGATTTTGCAACAGATTTAAGGGAGAAATCAAAATTAAATGTGTTATTCGTCGAAGGAGGTAACGGTGAGGTGAAGATGTGAAAAACTTGGGTAGTGAATATGAGTCGGAAAGTGGTGGGAAGCTGGTGAGGCGATGGGGTACTTGGTAGCGTGAAAAGTCCAAGAAACTAGGAGTGGTTTTTAGGCGGCCTAGAAACTTAAGCAAAAGTGTCTACGCAGTTCCAACGGCCACTCTTGGGCCTCCCAGAGTAAGCTGCTGATAGGACTAGTCCTGAACGCCCCGGTCGCCTTGCGAATCATTGTATGATGTATCGGGTTTAATCGGTTCAGTATCTGGTTTGAGACATCTCCGTAAACTTCGCTGCCATACCGATATTATGACACACCTATAGAGTCTCTGTAAAGAGACTCCATCGCTGCCATAAGTTGAACTGGATAGTATCTTGGTTACATTAGATCTTTTTGACAACTTGGACAATAACTCATCGACATGTACTTTCCAAGATAGTCTTGTATCAAAGGTGACTCCAAGGTAGCGACACATTGTTATCTGTTCACATGGTTGGACACATTTCCGAAGTCGACAAAAATGTACTGCGGTTGATTTATTATGGTTAAAGCTAAAGCCACTACTGGAGGCCCATTTTTCTAGATTGTGAATTGTTTTCTGCATTACAGATTGGCCAAAGTTGATGTCGGTGGAGCTGTAATAAATCAAAACGCCATCTGCATATAACGCAAGGCCAACTGGTTTAAGTATGAAATTTCTTAGATCATTAATAGCAATGTTAAGAAGGGTAGGACTTAAAAGGGATCCCCTCCATTGTGTAAGTCAAAGTTATCTGAAAATACTGGCCTGACGCGAACGTTAAATTTTCCATCGACAAGGAAATTTTTTATAAAATTTTATAAAATGTTGCCGGAAAGACCCAATTTGTCTAAAGATTCTAAAATTTGTATTCTCCAGCAGGAGTCAAACGCGCTTTCAAGATCTAGGAAAAGTGCAAAAACATGTTGGTTCTTATCAAAGGATGATTTTAAGTAGGAGTTAAATTTAAAAAGAAGGTACATCGTTGATTTGGATTTTTATATTAATACAATTGTATGTTGAATTTAAGATTGTCTGGTTGGCTTTTAAGTGGGTTTCTTGAAGAGAAATTATAACTAGAAATTAAAAAGTGCAAATCATTATAGTCACAATTCCAATTTAGTATTAACATATGTTTTATGTGATAAGGAAGTATAACCTAAAATTTGGACGATTGCGTGGGGTTAGTTCTGTCTGTTATCAGTGTTACTTATTAGAGATGTATTTCTGATGTGATTGTAACCCGTTTATTACTTTAGTGAATCTACTTTTTAGGTAGGGAAGGGTAGAATTCTGAAAGCATATTTATAGTAGACTCAAGGTCGTTTGTTATTTCCAACGTTGTTGATACTGGGCCTTTAGTGATAATAAGAGTTGATAATTGAATAAAAGAAAGGGGGTAGTTTTTACCAGGTGCATCGATAAGTTATTTTATTGAGAGCAGGGGTTTAGCTAATGTGTTTTTTTCGAAATAATTTTGAGTGTTGGTGGTTATTTTATTTGTCCCAGGAGTACATCCTAGTAAATTCTAATTCTTCTGTGTTTTCCCCGCCATTTAAAATTGAGAAAATGTGATTTGATACAGGTTTATTTGATTCATTTACGGTTGGAACAGCGACATTCGCGGTATCTATTAAATCGGTTTTTCATTCATTGTTTAACTTTAGGATCGAGTTATCTGTATCGATGTTTACCTCAACAGCTGTGAAGCTAACCTTACTATGAGGTGTTGGTTGGTTATTTTTTGGTATTACGATTTCATTTAGAGCTTGAAATTCAGCTAGCCCTGGTGGATACCTTCCAGTCCTATTATCAGGGCAAAGGGAGGGGCATTGGAAAGTGAAATGTCCCACCTTTTTACACCAATAACAAGCTCCTGTGTCTTCATTAAACAAAACTCGAAAAGAACCCTCTTCTGTCTTAATGATTAGAGATTCTGGGAGTAATTCACTACTTTCAGGAGTTATGTATATTTGTCTTCTCCAACTGAGAATGTCGAAGAAACTGGATTTTTGGACACCTATTGATAAGAATTGAGCTAGTGAGACACAGGCGTCACTTTCATTTGTTTGAGACTTTCATCTTCAATTGCAATGTGGGGAATGCAGAGTTCTGCGTTAGAGATCAAAATTCTTTTTGCTGGGTTAATCAGTCTTCGTATTTTAATTGTGTTGTCCTCAAATTTCGGGGATGCGTTAGATTCGATTAATTTGTCCACGAGGTCTTTAGAACTTAGATGAATACATATAAGGCTATTCGAAATTCTTGAGGCAAACCGTATGTCTCTGGGAGCAATTATTTCTGCTAATTTTTCTAAGTAATCTATTAATTTAACACCGTTAATGAATTAAAAACAATGGCTTGGTCACGTTTTGGGAATTTTTCTAATTTCTTGGAGGTTATGTTGGCAAACGTCTTACCTTCTGTTTCTGGACTCGAAGAATTAGGAACATTTTTAGTTTCTTCATCTTCCCTAGTGATTGCACTTTGAGGATTCATTCCAAACATCCAATATCCAATTCCAAACAAACACTTGTATCGTTGAATAAAACCAACTTATATACAGAGCAACTTGGGGTTACGTGTTAGAACAACAACCTCTCTATAACCTCCTCTAGTTAAGTAAGATTAGATTATAAGTATCAATTGATAAATAAAGAAACACTTACTGTTCATCTCCTCACCATCGTCGTATAAGGCTGAAAAATAAAAATTAATTGAGATGAGAAAAAATAAAATCTGCTTGAGATTAGTATGAAATTTAATTTTTTTAAATTATTATATCATTAGCACATTAACTAACTACAATTTTATATGGGATTAGATTATAATGTTACAGAATTATGAATTTTGTTCTCAAAGACGAATAATAGCTTAGCTAATCCGCTATTCTTTGTTAATATAACCGATATTAATGCAACAAATTAAAACACAAATCCGCAAGATTAGCTTTAACGCGAACTTCTTTCCTTTCCTACGTTTTGGTCGGCTTATCGAGCATTTACCAGCCGGCACTTATTATTTTTTTTAAGCATTCATTGGTTACCATGCCTTCATAATCCCATTTCAACCAATTATTACTTTAATTGTAACAACAAATAAATAAAAGTTATCTGTGTTTATTTCATCATTTTTATTTTTCATTTTATTACATAGGCATAAGATGACCAAAAAGGCAATGTAATAAAACTTTTTTTTTAACTTTTATGATATTTACAACTGTATTAGTATGAATACATCAAGTAAATGTGTACATAGGAATATTATCACACGAAACACGCTTGTTGAGAAACTACCCATTGGTAGCACTCTAATAATTTGTCTACATGAGGAGACCACGAGGCCATCTCCTTTTCAGACGCCTCGGAGGGTTATCAGGAATTGAAGAGGAAGCAAGGTTAGAAACGAGAGGGTTGGGATGATTCTGAAGTTTATTATGGAAGGATAGGTATCTGGATTGGGCCAGATCTGAAACATAAGGAACATTAAGATCTTTATGGATAATTTTATTAGTGACAAAGTAAGGAGCATTGAGGATTTTACGAAGGATTTTGGATTGTAAGGATTGGATGCGAGAGGAATTCGATGGTTTAGTGGAGCCCCATAGCTCAACTCCGTAAGTCCAAATAGGTCTTATTATAGTCAAGTATATAAGTCTTTTGTAATTAATGGAAGTTTAGAGCGTTTGTCTAGTAAGTGCTGAAGTAATCGGAAACGTCGAGCGGTGTTTCTTGTCGTTTCAGTCTAGTATGAGGATTCCAAGTTAGTCGTTTGTCCAGGTGGAGTCCTAGGTATCGGATTTGCTCAACAGGGATAAGTGGAGTATTGTTAAAGGAAACTGTAGGACAGGAAGTCGTTGGTTTACGACGAAGGGTAAAGGTAATTTGGTGGGATTTATTGGAGTTTATTTTAATTCTCCAGTTTTGACACCATTCTTCTAGATTTATGATGTGTGATTGAAGCATTTGGGATGCAATTGCTGGGTCATTGTTTACTGATAGGATGCATGTGTCATCGGCATATGTGGTGATGACAGTGTTGGGACAGGTAGGGATGTCAGCTGTATAAACTGTATAGAGGATAGGACCTAGGATACTACCTTGAGGAACACCAGCAGACTGGGAAAAAAGGGATGAATAGGCGTTATTGTGATTTACTTTAAAGTATCTATCAGTAAGGTAGGAACGGATAATGAGGAAGTATGTAGGTGGTAGGAATTTTCGGAGTTTGTACAGCAGTCCCGGGTGCCAAACTCTATCAAACGCCTGTTCAACGTCGAGAAAGACTCCCGTACAGTACATCCCGCGCTCCAATGCAGAGGAGACTACGTCTACCACACGATGACATTGCTGTATATTGGAATGGGAAGTTCGGAAACCAAATTGGTGATCTGGGATTATGTGTTTAGAATTTAGGATAGGGTACAGGCGTTTTAAGATGAGTTTTTCTAGGATTTTGCCCATGATGGGTAAAAGAGAGATAGGACGGTAAGAGGATGGGTATTCTGGTGGTTTTTTGGGTTTGTGGATCATTTTAACAATAGATCGTTTCCAAAGATCAGGAAAATGTGTAGAACGGAGTACAGCATTATATATATAAGTAAGGAATAGGATGGCTTTTCGAGGAAGAAGTTTTAGGATTTGGGATGTAATTAGGTCATGTCCAGGAGCTTTACGGGAAGGTAATTTTTGAATGATGTTGGATATTTCTATGGGATGAAATGCTTTGGGTGGCAGAGACATTTGGAGAGGAATATCCAGTTCTGCTTCAATACAATTGATGTGAGTTGAATTAAGGATATCTGGATGTGGATTAAAAGTTTGGAAAAGATGTTGTCCAAATAGTTGGGCTTTTTCTTCGTCGGATTTGGACCAGGTTTGGGAATCAGTAAGTAGTGGGTGATTAAAGTCTTGAAACTTAAGAAGTTTTTTGGTGGTCATCCATGATTTGTCAGTGGTTGTAAGTTTTTCAGTAAAATTTAGTAAATTTTGAATTTTGTATTTTCTAATTTCTGATTTCAGTTTGTTAGTCAGTTGTGTGTAATGCGATTTATCTGTCGGGTATCTAGTCCTATGCCACTTCGATCTTGCTCTGCGTTTTTCCTGTAATAAGATGCGAATATGCTGTGGCAAGTTAGTATTTTGTGGGAAGTTAATCTTATTGATAAAGGTGTTATTATTTATACTGTCTGTTATTGATGATGTCAGTTTTTCTATGGCACCATTAATGTCTTCTTTTGTTTTTAGCGGGATTTTGAGGTCTAGTTTGTTTTCCAAATCATCATGAAATTTGTCCCAGTTTACTCGTCCAGTGATCAGTTTAGGAAGTGATGGTTTAGGAGCAAAGTCAGAATGTAGTGAAAGCAGAACTGGACTATGGTCTGAAGAAAGGTCATCCAGGGATTTGATTATAGTTTGGGAGGAGGAAATCTGGGAGGTGATAAATATGTCCAGGATATCGGGACGTTTTTTGAGGGATGTTGGAAAATAATAATTGGAGAGGATGGAATAATTGTTGGAAGAAGAAACTTGTGAAAGGGTATTACCACGGGAGTTGGATGATCGACAACCCCATCGTTGGTGTTTAGCATTGTAGTCTCCTCCAGCAATAAAGCGCGATCCGAGGGATTGTAAAAAGGATTCAAGTAGGCTGTACGAGAGGGAATTGCCAGGAGGACAGTATACAGCTGAAAGTGTTAGATGGAAAGGACGAGTTGAGAGGATTACAGAAGTTGACTGAATGGCATCTGTTGGAATAGAAGGAATAAGGGAATGGGGTAAAGATTTGTGGATAAGGATGCAAGAACCGGCGTGGGCAGTGTTGTCTGGGTGGTCAGATCTATAGGTGATGTAGTCACGTATGTAGAAATGTGTCCGTTGGGTGAAGTGAGTTTCTGTTAGGAGGGCAATGTCAATATAATTGTCATGGAGAAATATGTCTAGTTCGTCACGGTGGTTTTGCAGTCCATTAGCGTTCCATAAGAGAATAGCTAGGGACTTTGAGTTCATCGAGGGAAGCTAAGCGGGATTTCAGAAAGGAGTCTGGTTAGAAGGGTTATGAGCGGTTTGATAGTCTGTTGAAGATCTATCAGGAATGATGATAAGATAGTGTTGATGTCGAATGGTGTTTGGCTGGAAAATGGGTTTGGATCAGGAGGTTGTGATGGGTAGGTTATGCGACTAGGAATGTTGGGTGGGGGATGGGCCCGTCGTGGGGTACGAGGAGGAGGAGGATCTAAATTCTGTTGGACTTGTGGAGGGGGGTTCATCCTGGGATTAGGAACGAATGGAGCTGGATGTGGATGCTCTGGCGGGAGTTTGACTCTTAAGGGTAAATGATGAGGAGGGATTTGCTGGCGAGGAGGTTGAGGCTGAGTATTAGGGATTTTGGGCTTGGATTGGAAGGCCTGAGGCGCCTGACGTTGACGTTGCTTCTTACTGGTGGAAGACTGGGAGTGAGAATTTCTGAGATTCTGGTGAGGTGAGTCCTTAGCTGTAGAGATGGATGGAAAATATCCTGATTTTCAATTTCAGGTGGTTCAGTGTAAGTTTTCTGAGCAGATCCAAGATTTTTCACCGCTGAGTTTCGTGATCTTTGTTTGTAAAGATTTTTATATACTTCACATCCTCTGTAGCTCGCAGGATGGGCTTCGCCACAAAGAGCACACATCGCAGGCTCATCTCTTGGCTTCTGGCAAGTGTTTGAAGCGTGTAGGCCGGCACATTTAACGCACCTGACTTCGTGATAACAATAGGCCTTTGTATGGCCCAAGTTTTGACACTTAGTGCATTGTACAATTAGAGGCTTCTGTTTCGGTTCCTCAAAACGGACAATTGAGTAAACCAATCGTTGAACCTGGAATATTTCAACATTGGTTTTTGCTGGTTCCAGGTCTATAAAAAATAATGGGAGCGGATATCTTTCTCTAGGATGTAGTACAGGTGCTATGTGCCTGACATTATGACCGATTTCTTCGAGGCCCGATTTGATAGCAGATATGGGTGTGGTTGAATGTAGTCCTCTCAGGACCACTCGATACGCCTTTTCTTGTTTTAATTGGTAACAGTGGAAGTCGTAGTTATTGGTTGTTAAGAAATTGATTAGTTTTTTATAATTGTCTCTAGAATTAGTATTAATTTTAATGTCGTTCACTCTCGAGTAACATCGAAAATTTGGCTGTTCGATCAAATCTGCAATTTGTTGACCAAACGACATAAAGTTCTTAATTTTTGAAACAAATATTGGCGGCGGCTCAGGATCAGAAAAATCTTGAAGCTGCGGAGTCTTGTGAGATAGGTTGTTTTCTTGAATTGAATTTTTGCTTTCTGATGTTTTTGGTGCAGTTGGCTCTGATTGAGTGGCATTAGATTTGCTCCTAGTTCTCGGTGGAGATTTATCTTGTTCTGGTTGCTTATTTGATTTATTTTTCTTTTTTTTTTTTTTTAGGTGAGTTTTGTCCCGATCCGGGAACTGAGCTTCGGAGACGCTTTTGGAGTGTACGCCTTTTCAAATATTGCGAGTCGGTCTCGCTAATTTCCGAAAAGGGTGTCTCATCCTCCGTGTCTTCACATGATGTGTTCTTATCCAGATCCATCATGATAAGTGTTAGAGAAAATTAAGAAAAAGAAAAAAAAAATATATGTATATATATAAACCTAAATATTAAAATTAAAATTTATGAGATAACTTCTTAAACACT